CGCGTATGTAATGAGAGTTTGGGATTGATGTTGGGAGAACGGGATGAAAGGATCTTTATATATATTCTTTTCCTCATCCTTTTTTGTTTTCCCAGTGTGATTCTTTTAGTGCCTTTGGATGATGCATGTAAGCTTGATCTGATCTTGATTCCATTTGCGAGAGCTATTTATGTGCTGTATGGGGGCGTCTCAGTGGCTTCACGAGCAACACCGAGCTTGACACCCAGTCTGACATCAACATTTTGCAATTTCATAACCATCAGAATAGACTAAATTTCAGTTTAGCTTTTTCTCTCTTGCTCTTCATGTACAGTAGGGAAAGCAAAAAGCGGTTTGACCTTCGGTTCTTCTAATTTCGTTGTTTCTGACGGCACAATCTCATTATTTCTGTTGCGTGTTGCCAAACATGGAGAGCTGGATCTACGAAGGAGAAAAGAAATGCTGTGCCATGTTCATTGATGTATGAAAACATACAAATGCTAAGATATCTTTGGGACCCTGACGGCGGTGATACCAATTGCAATGAATCAAGGAAACTAGAATAAAGAGCTGTGAATGAGGTAATGAAATAAGAAGACTAGGCGTAGAGCCCGAACTCATCATAACATAACAAAATTCTTGGAGGGGAAAAAAATTCTTTTCTTTTATTTTGCAATCACTATCATCCTTCATGTCCCATGTGTGTATGCCTGTCTATCTATGATGCTAAGGGAGAGCGGCATGGAGTGGTTAGCTCATGAAAGTATTTTTGTTCGCGGAAAGGCCCAGATCTTTGCGAGATAAGAAAAGGCAAGAGAAAGCGAAAAAAAAAACATCTAGCTATCGTCTTCGGAACGTTATATGCGGTCTGTCTAACGTTGTAAGTGGAACAGCCCAGGCTGGAAAAAAGGGGGAAAAGAAATTGTGGCCAAAATTAAAAGAAGAACATTGGAACAAAATGTGCAAAGAAAAAACGAAGCAATGGCAAATAATAATGAAATTGGGCCAATGATAAATGGAAAGGATTTGAATTACAGCGATTGGCTGAATTGAAGTATTATTTGGCATTGATCACAACGCCTCAATCTCGGCGATGCATTTCTCGAATTCAGACCAATGCCTCATAACAGATTTAGCGCCCAGGCCCAACAGGGTATTTGCAACCGCATCCTGTTGAGCCTTTCCGTGGTAACAGCCCACGTAGGCGATGACGGGGATTTCGGAGCGAATGGCACTCAACGTGCCGCTTTTGCTGTCCTCCACAGCAATGCACTCACTAGGGGTCTTATTGAGAACCCTGAGGGAGTGCAGGTAGATTGCTGGGTCAGGTTTTGTTGTCGGCACAGGGAGGGAGGTAGCCGCGCTGAAGATGTGTTCCGGTTTGAAATACCGTTCCTGGTCGACCTTCTTGATAGAAGCCTTCACACGGCGGAGAGCAGAGGACGAAACCACAGCCATGTCGTATTTCTTCGAAGCGAAGAGCTTGGCTAGCTCCTCAGTGGATCCTTCACAGGGTTGTGCCTTGGCCTCTAGCTTGGCTATGACACGGTCCTCCTCCTCCTTGACGTATGCTTCAAGCTCAGTTTGAGAGAGATTGAAGTTGAACTTGGCCTGCAGGGCCACCATCATACCACGGAAGTTCTGACCAACAAAGTCGGTGATAAGCTGGGAGCCGGTGTAGCGGTCAGGAATGCCGTGCTTTTCGAGGATCTCGTTGGCGATGTCTGCACATGCTTCAAAAGCGAGTTCCTCTGAGAGGACAAGCGTATTGTCGCAGTCAAACAGAAGGGTTGTGATCTAGAAAAGGATCTATAGTCAGCATCGGAGGGCAACTATTGAACAACCAAAGCAAATAAGGGCACAGAGTGCGGGGGTCCACCCTTCATCCGGCAGCGCAGATGATGGAGAATGGCAACAATCCATGGAAAACCTTACCTTAGGCATTGTGGCGTAGTTGAGATAGTTTTCCACGAAAGGGATATTCTTCGGAATGCAAATAGAGAATCCTGATGTAGATGGGAGGAGTGTTGGTGGGGGGTCAATATTTGTTTGTTGAAAATGGATGTTTATTTGGTGGGGTTGGGGATTTTTTATATCAGAGGAATCAGGATTGACCAAGAGAACCAGATGACAACAAAGTGGTACCCAGGGAATTACAAAAGTTTATTCACCAGGACAGTGATTATTGAACCGTTTCACCAGGCAATGAGTTACTGTCGAGTTCAGTGGCCAGTGGATCCTTATATTTTCTTGCTTTGCAGTGGGACAACTGGTATCATCAAGATCACATTGGAGATCAAGCGGAGCAAAGCGGAGCCTATGATTTTATCATGAGGGGCAAATTTTTGTTCAGCATCTGCCGTTTTTAGTGCCCTGGATGATACCTGAATTCTGCCTCAAGTCACAGAATATCGTTACAGGACTCAAGACTGACCCACCTTGGAGCAATTGATAGGTAGTCCCTGTGCTGAACAAAGGGAGCATCCACCTCCGCCTCCAACTAGTTCATCAAGGAGTGACAAGCCATTTTGACCTGGTTCTGGCCGAATCGAACGAACCCACCAGCAACCTTCGCACCAAATGATCTATAGGCGCTACGCTCGATGAGAACAAGATGCGGCGAGCTCAATACTGCTAGCCCACTAGCCGCAGCCTATCGTTGGCGTGTGGATCCAGAACTGATGACCATGGCCCCTCATTCCTACCTTTTCCTTTGCTTCTATGTCCCTTTTTCATGAAAATCATAGAATAAAGCATAGGGGAGAGTGGTGGGGAGACATGAAAAAAGGGAGAAAGGGTCAATAAAAACAATTACCACTGGTTCTGAAAAAGGATCTACTTTGATATTACTGCAAAACGAAAACGGGGACAACGAAATTTTTTGGCTCAGGCCGCATTCGGCGAGAGATTAGACTTGGACGAGGCCGCCGCACCATTTTCCCCCCTTTCTTCAGACTCTTCAGGTGCTCGCCCGTTAGCAAGCCTGAGCCCTAACAGCAAACACGACACCCCCTACACGGATGGGCCCACAGAACACATGCATATGCAGGAGTGTATTGATTTTCGAAATGCGACTGCTACCCAACGTTTGACGACATCTTTGTGGAAGACCTCTTGGAAGTGACAGCGACACCCATGAATGTGTCGCTTAAGCGCTTTCAATTCTTGATCACTCTGTTCCAGTCACCCAACATGATCGGCTGGATATGAGGATGAAAAGGATACATTCTCAAAGTGCCAATAGGAAGATGTTCTGCAATTGAACACGTCGCTCGAAAAGCCCCACAATTGACAAAATACCCCGCTGTACAATATACGGGCAGCTGCCCAACGTTTTGGGACAAGGACAACCGACGCCAACTGTTAACCCCCCAAACCAATGATTGAGATGCAATTATTATATTCCACATTCCAACGACGTTGTTTTAAGAGATAATACAGCGATAACTTCCCACACTAAAATAATAAGCGCAATCTTGCAGTTAGGACATGATGTCATTGCTTCTCATTCAGGGGTCACGTGCAAAAAAAGGATCAATCCTTAAGACGGGGCCAACCCATCTTAACATGTTCAATAAAAGGATTTTAGAAGGTTTACTCATTTGACACGGACCGGAGTTCTCCTGCCCCTGAACTCCCCTAGCTTAGCCGTCTGGGGTAGGGTGCGTACCCCTACGGGTGCTTAGCGACAACAAGGCCGTGTATCCTTTTGTATCAGCTTTTTTGATGTCGAATTCGGTGCTAGCTCACGTTATTTTATTTTAGATCGAGGACACGCTTGTGCCACATTTACACAAAAAATTCTTTGTCGGCGAGATATCTGTCGGAGTCATACCCTTCCCTGTTCGTGCGGTGGAAATTAATTTAGCATGTCGTCAAAAGCATCCATTGAATGGCCAGCACGGGGAAACTTCCGGTCACTTACCAGTGCCAGAAATTTTTGTCCTGTCTACTTAACGGAGGCTTCCATAGTGGTTTGTGTAGGTTCCTGATCCCAACAGGTAAATTACCAAGAGGAGCCGTCGTCCAACCATCCCTCTCTTTCAAAACACTGTTAGCCTTGTTTTCCAATACCCTTGAAAGCATGGTGGTTTCGACATCCCCTTGCGGAATTCCAACAGTGGAGTTTAGGCACATTGCAACAATGCGATCGGACCACTGGGTTCTGAACTCTGGCAATTTGGTGACTGAAAGTTGCCTAAGCCAACATGGATCATTGGGATCCTTTAATTTACCCAAATTTCGCATTATCAACACCCCAATACAGGTGCTTGTGAGGGGTTCTTTCTTGACATGCACGCGAAATCTGAATCTGGAGTCGCAGAATCGGCACTTGAAGCCTCGACAATGCAAGCAGCAACAATTTTGGACGGTGTTGAACTGATGTAGAGGCCCGACCTTGTGACGAGCCACAAGGTCGGGCCTATATTGTTTTATGACACACGGATCACCTAGGTGGAGATGGGGGCACAGAGGAATATCCAAGGCCAAGAACGCTCTTTCAGCGTCCGCTATGGAGGGAATTTTGGCAGAAGGATAGATCGCCACGAGGGTGGTTGTGGTAAGCACTTTGCATTTACCCCAGCGGACGATGGTCCAAGTTTCATCCTGAAAAAGACAAGGACGTTCCTGTAACGCAAGAGCCATATCAAATGCGTCATGAGAGCACTTTGGAAACTGGTAAGCTTGATTACTGGACTTGCTGAGGAGCACCACATCATCAAAGCTCGCACTTTGATAAGGACAAAATTGCAACAACCCTCTCCGATATCTTTTGCACTTGCGATAATGCGGATTCTGATCCCAGTCTAGCGGGTAGAACATGGATTTGTCATGTCTTTTACTCCAGCACATCCTGCAAGCCATTTTTTTCAACCCAGGCTCACGCTCCAGGAGGCATTGGAGTTCGAACTTCCCTTGCGTCGTGAGCAACCTCGTGGTAGGGTAATTGTGATAAAACAGCCGGCACACATATCTTAAACACTCCAATTCAAACGGCTTGAGATGTTGTACAATGAGGAGAACGATCTCAGGGGGTAAGCGGTGGAGGATCGACTTCTTGGAATTTTCCACCTCACCAGGTGTGATATAGTGTTGGTACATTTTTGGGCAATATTTACCACCATCAAAAGATGAGTATTTGCACTGGCTACATGTCAACTGAGGGCCATGGGTGCAGCGATCGTTGGACTTGGGAAATTTAACTTGGAAGCATCGAAATATTTTCGAACGAAGCTGAGGGAAGGTTAATTTGCCAGGTAGATTCCCCTCCTTAGGGGAAGGACGATTTGGCTTTTTCATGGCAGTGATGGTATTACGTCAAGTCAATGAAGAGGCAAGTTATTCTATTGGCAGCTTTGAATTTCTTTCGTTTTCGTTCCTTTTTGAATGAGAAAGAATATGACCGATAAATTTTGGAACATGAAGAATGCGAAAATAAAAAGAAATAAAAGGATGAAATGGAAGGTGAAGGGAAGGTAAACTCGGGAATATAAGTGGTTGAATGTTAGGATTTTTACAAATGACATCAATGCGCGGTCTACCAATGAACGTCTTAAACCACTAGTGCTTCATATAGACGTTGGATAAAGGTAAATTGAATCAAAACTAAATCAAAGTCTGGTTTTCGGTTTCTTCTCAGCTCGCAAGCCACCCGAGATTGTAATTCCGCCAACATCTTACCAATTTCAACGGTTGAAAGTTATACCTTGCGCTTATAAGCAAAGAAGCCCCAGGCATAGTTGCTGGTGCAAGATCTGGGGACAAACGCTCTGCTGGTCGAAAGCGGATGCAGGAAGGTTTACAACTTTGTCTGCCAGAGCTTATATATCTAGCTGCGCTTTCCCTACGCCGATTGTGCAATGGCGCACGCTAGATCCACGAAAGTGACATGCGGTATGTATAAAGATTGCTAGGAAAGCTCTAACTCTTTCCACACTGTCTTATGACCTAACCGACAAAAATGATGCCTTCGGAGATTGCAAAAGCGACCGGGCTGTGATGTTGAGTTTTGGAGCTATCACTTTCCTCACTCAGGCTTAATCTATGCGAATATAGAGTAAAGGCTTGGGGATGAGGGGAATAGGATTGAAGTTCCTTTAAGTGAGCAGTTCGATTATTGGCATGCGCTTAAATTCCTTCGGGAAGGGGAGAAGATAGTAATGTGTGCAACTGTGGACCCAGGGAAGCCAGAGCGACACCAGGAGGATTTTTTGATCCCTACTAGCACACTAGTATTCACTCGAGAGTCAGTGCTCCTGGGGTTCGCCGTCGACTTCTTGCTCAGACCCTCTCCTTGCGACGTAATAATTGCATCCCAAAAGATTCTTTTTAGAACAGAGAACTAAAGGCGAAAACCAGAAAATCTCGGGAGGAGGGTCAGTTTGCCGGTTTTAGTTAGCCGAGCTACTCTCAAGTAATTTTGAAACTCCCACTAAGTTCGGCAATCGGCTTCACGGCGATTGGCCGAATTACGGCAATTTCGGCAACGTGTTAGATCATTCAGAATACAGGAAATAGCAGCAGAATAGAAATTCTATTTTGCCGTTTATACCTTGCAAGTCGGTTTATTTCATGTGTGAAAGTACTAGCAATTCTGTTCGTTCCCGGGCTTGTAGCGCGTGCAGAGTAAAAGCCGGTTCATCACAGCGAGCCGTCATCATACGATTTCATTTATTATTTCTAATGAATGGAATATAACGCTCTTCCAAAAATCAAATAATCAACCAATTTAGACAAAAATTGAGCTTAAATTTTGTAGCATTCATCCGTCGATTGCAGATTATTCGGCTGCCCCACGGCTAAAATTCAACGCATAACCAATGCTGGCATTTGATTGGCTGCTTCCAACCACCCTGATTAGTAAGCAAACCAAACAAATTTCAGTAACTAGCCAAAACTGTTCAGCGAAGGCGAGCAAGTTACTACGAGTACTATGTATCGCAAAGGATAAAGTCCTTAACATGGCCAACCCCAACCCTTACCCTACTTCCATATCATCCCTCCATTTTCCATCTTCTGCTCATCAAAGTATCTCCCAAATCCTTTCCTCGCTTCGCAAGTCCGCGCTGTCAATCACCAACAGGCTACGGTCTATTGAGGAAGATTCAGAGTTTACCGAACACGTTGCGGATCACTATGGGTTACCGCTCGTCGCCAATGAGAGATGCGGTAGCTGGTATATCCCCACAGACAGGAAGGCTGGAAGTGCCTATTTCAAGAGCACTGATGGCCACGAAGGGCAGTGGGATTTCAGTCTGCGCAGGCTAAACTTACAGTTACTAGATATTCTGAGGGAGAATGGAGGGTAAGCTCAGTCCTTGTTGAACTTCTACATTCTAACCCGGATTTAAGATTTGTTTTCCTAATTTCGTATTATTTAGATGTGTTATCGTGGACTCCACCAGAAGAGGCAAATGTATGTATACGTTTCCGACATGTCCATGATCCTAGTATGGGTACATATACATCTGTCAAAAGTATCCCATAAGCAAAAGCAATCGCTTCTCATCCCACGCCCTGTAGGTCTAACACGATATTCCCTACTCAGCTATGCCTGATGCACTATCAAAAACAGTTCCTATATGGACCGCTGTCTTGAATAGGGCCCTTTTCCCGGACGAAAAAACATTTCACGACGTCCAATTCCCTCCAGACTTCTTGGGTGCTTCTGAAGAGTCACAGATTGAAAAGCGAATTGATGGCTTTGTTATTTCACTAAATGTAAAATTTCTTTCCACTTTTCTCTTGGTTTTAATGAAGGGGGTGAAATATATATGTGTGTATATATATATAACTACTAACACTAATCGAAGTCCCTCAAACTCAATATGCAAGGACTACAATCACGCCTCGGCAAGCCCATAAGACTTACCTGGGCTACGAGAGAATTCCTTTGGCCCGAATATACTGAGAAAGAAATGGATGCTTTCCATCTCATCGTTCTTTGCTCTGCCTCGAGACGCGTTCAGGGGGCGGAGATGTCTGAGGGCGGTTATATCCAGGGAGCCGGAGATGATAGTGAGGCGTGGTCCTGCGGCCTGACTCCGAGAATCTTTTGGGACAATAGATCTACCCTGTTCGCTACTGTCGAGGAAGACTTGCCGGCTGTGATTGCTGAATTAATCGGGAAGCATCATCGGGAGATGGGAAATGAAGATGCCGTACTAATACGGCCTACCAATAATATCTATATTGGGAGAAGTGGCCGAGGGAGCAACTCGGAGCCAGCTGGTGTGGGAATAAATGAGGAAAGACTATTCGATCTACGGATTAAGTGCAATGTGTCAGACGCAGGAGATATGGATACATCATTAACCGAGCCTACCACAGAGGAAGATGCGAAAACCTTGAACCTTGGGTGCCCTTCAGGGAAACTTGGGAGCCGGCAGCTAAGAAAGGTTCTCAACAAGGTTGAACAGTTTGTTGCTTTACATTTATCTCGTGATCCTTCACAGTCATTGATTGTGACATGCGATAATGGCAAGGACCTGTCCGCCGGCGCAATTCTCATGATAATCTGCATGTTTTATAACAAGGAAGGTGCGTACCCACATTGTTCGTCAGCGTCCTCGGTATGCTTGTACGCTTATAACAGAACGATACAGGGAACTTTGAAGGACCTCGGCGAGTTGATTTTATTAACAAAGAATACATTCGACAACGCCTCGCTTGGGTGATATCGTCCAAGCATGATGTGAATCCCTCACGGTCAACCTTGCAGTCGGTCCACGCATTCCTCATGAAGAGGCCCTGACCCAGAGCAATTGCATAGAGTGTCGTATATCAACCGCACTTCCACGAAAAACACATCAATGACATCAAACTCGCACGGGAGCAACTCTGTGATAATTTCTAGAAACTATCAAAACGAAGTGGATCTGCTATCTCTTAACGCCAGCACGATTACACCCTCATCCACCTTATCAAGCGTGTTTAGAGTAACCATACCCTCATCACCACATCTAATGACGAAGTCGTCCGCCCTCGCATTTGCTTGGACCCCCTTAAGAAATGGAACGCTACCTTTTGACAATCGATAGCTTAACACTGTGTAATTTTCTGCTACGACTGCGGGATGTTGCAAACCAACAGCAATACAAAAGAACCTCAAATCAAGTATACTGGTTGCAATATATGTAAGTTGCTCTGGGTGACCAGAGTTTTCCCTTGCCCAGTTGGGATTTCAAAAGTGTTTGGTCCTTCCCTACCTGTGGATGTCTGCTATTCAGTTGCATTGCAAAATCATCTTGCTCACTCTCCATAAGGAACCCTCTATTGTCATAGAACATTGGATGAACATGGACGCAAATATTGACATCAGTTGTTGATGATGCCGAAAACTAGCCAGATAATCTACTTTTCTTTATTTCAATATGTGCGGCTGCAGATGATCCACCTTACGAAAAAGGAACCCATTTTCAAATTTCAGGTCCGCATATAGGCCGGTCATATCTGACCGGAAACGCACGGAAGGGGAAGTTGTATCTGCCCATGTAGGTAGGGGAACTTTAGAGGCCCTGCGTTATAATACAGCAATATTAGCATTTCTGTGGTGATATCATCATTTCACATGCATGTGACAATCATGACACTAATCATGTGTGGAAGGTGTAAAGCTTGCTTGATTGAAAAGGTTGCTAGCTAAGTGGGGAGGTTATATGGCGGGAGGGATTAATAAGCTAAGACCTGCAGGTCTCACATCATGACATGTTTTGTACAGAGTTTGTATTGCAACTATTCCTGGGTATGTTGTTACATACATACATACCTCACCTGAAACTCGATGAATGCCACCATAAAGCCGTCGTAAATCAAATCCTGCGATCTCCTGGTATGGTTAACCTACACCATTCCCAGCCAATATTTGAAAGGCGACCCTAGCTATTTCCATTTTGCTTTACTATCTCCAAACATTCTGAACTATGGCAGTGACGATCTCTTCGAAAACGGATATCATGAGCCTGAGCGATACAACTTACACCCTCTCTGCCAGCTTAAAGCGGTAAGGGTCTATTTCAATAAATCGGAATTAAGGGTTTGAAAACTGATAATCCATAGTTTATTCCATTCTTCAAAATTCACGGATATCACAATCCAGGCGGGGGGGAAGAAGAATTCAAGGTCCATAAGCTCATCCTCTCTGGTCAATCGGAGTACTTTTCACGTATGTTTAGTGCAGAGTGGAAGGTTCGTCAGTCTCAATCTCCACTTCACTGTCGCTGGCATTTGTACCGATCACGTTAGTTTAAAATACCAGGAGACTGCAACCGACATTATCAAGTTAGAAGATGAGCCTCGAACGATCGAAGCGATGCTCCGTTTCATGTACGGGCTCGATTATGATAGTGGCAGTCAAGGGCGCACTTCACCGATGCTTTTCGGTTCCAAAGTGTATGTTGCTGCAGACTATTATGGCATTCCATAATTAAAAGAGAAGGCGAAGGCAAAGTTCGAGGTCGCTATGCATGTTTGCTGGGACATGGATGACTTCCCTATTACCATCGTGGAAGTCTATCCACCCACCCTTCCTATGGATCGGAACCTACACAATATACTTGCGAATACGGCTAAAGACCATTTTGAGCGGCTGTTGCAAAAGGATGAGTTCTTGTGCACATTCGAACAGTGCGGACGCTTTGCTGTGGATGTCGCGCAACTCCTGGCGAGCAACTATTACTCAATAAACGGAAGAAAGTATAGATGCCCCAGATGTAAGATTGAGTGGGAAGGGAAATTTCTCACCTCCGTATGCCTTCCTACCCATTGCATAAACTGTGGATGCAAGTCATATTGGGAGGAACACGTGCTCAAGTAAATATATCAATTTTGAGATACCCCCAGTTGAACAGAGAAGATGTGCTTCTCAAGGGATTAAAAAAAAGGCCTTGGACTGTCAATATTGACCAGAAAACACTTTTCCAAACACTTTTCCCAATAATCCCATCGCTATTTTCAAACTGATTTATCCCATCAATGTATTTCTACTTGGCCAGAAGTACTCTGATACTACAATTTGAATTCTACGCATCGGAGCTACCTTGCACAGGACTCCTACCCCTATCATTCTGGTTGTAGGAAACTTTTCACCACTTAAATTTCATGGAAACATTTTCCAGCCGTCTCCGAAATGGACTAACGTAGTGATTTTTTTTTTTTTTTTTTTTTTTTTTTTTTTTTCCCTTCCCGCCATGCTCGCCTTAGAATGTGGTACTCTCTGGAGTCCGCTATCATGAGAGTGTGTAGAAAATAAAAATATAGGGTTGAGAAATGAAAATAATTTCCATAGCTAAATTATCAGATTGGAGTTCAACTGCGAAATGGAGTAGAGTAATGGGCCTTATCTGACAGATCGTTATTAGACATGATACAAACATTTCCCCAAAAGCACACAACAAGTATTGAGTCTCGTGCAAGGAACTTCAACCCTGCCACTTCACCTTCCCTTCCCTCAACACCTTCAGCACTCCCAGTGGCACAACTCCCCTCTCTACAATTGCCAATCCACCATATCTCTTTGCAATCTCTCTGCAATACAACTCCGCTACCCACTTCCAGTACATATTCATGGAATGCCAACTGGAGAAAATTGGAGGTGAATTGTCCGCTGACGAATCGTCCAATCGAGTCTGCTCACCCATCAGCTCTGGTGTCCAATTGACAGCTATCTGTTTAGGACAGACGAGCAACTCCTGATATGCCAATACAAGGTTTCTGCTGGTGGTTTCGGTGTATCTGTTGAACTCCTCTAGTGACATGAAAGTCTCGGGTGCCATGTACGACGGGGAAGAGGAGCTGCTGCGCCCACCATGGCGGCGGCGATATGTATTTAGAACAAAATTGCCAGTGTGGTTGGGTCCATGCTTCTCAAATTGTTCCTTTGCGGCTGAATACGCTTTTTCGTCTTCTATGAAGGCTTTCTCCAGAGTCTTTTCCGGGGTCTTTCTCATATTCTCGCGAATGGCGAGGAAAGGGATCAGTGGGTTACGGAGATCTAGGCCTCCGAGCTCTACGGGGAAGTAGAAGACGCCATCCGGGAGATTGTGGACGTTGAATCGCTGAGCAATTAAGAGTCTGAGATAATCTACCGCATTGTAGGCGCGAGGAGTGGACGCGTCTACGTTGCTGGGTGACATGAAGAGCTCATTCTCTATCCGTTGCAGCGTAGTTATTGCCATTTCGATGTGCTCGCGCCCAAAACACATTGCGGGCTTACCAAAATTGTTAACAAAGAAGCGAGCAAAATAGCTGTTCCACGCTTTTATCCAGCTAAAAATGCTTCGACACGCATCCAGTTGGTGCTTAAGCTCCTTAACATGTTCATCTACCTTTGATTGGTCGATAATGAATCGACCTTCTTCTTCATCAAGCTTGAGAAATCCCCAACGCACGTCACCAGTGGGAAGGGCATTGTTATTGATATCTGAGTCCGAGTAACTGATGGACATGTTGTCAGAACCACCCTCATCCACGCCTTCGCTCTCGGAACAGCTCGGTTCCTGATGGGAAGACCGAGGGTTCTTTCCAGTTAGTCGCGCTGTCCCGGTTTTCTCCTCGTTAAACTCAATCCCCATAACTTTGCTGAACTCAGTCATAGCGCCCCAAGCACGAACACACAGTTTCTCCTGGCCCCAGAACCAAAAGTCGTCATGGAGGCGATAAAGGAAGGCACCATCTGCGGATTTTGAAACGGAATAATCCATGCAGAAAAGCAGCACTTCTCCAAGGAAGTCACTTAATGAATGAGACATTGGAACACCTCGCCTCCTTATTCGCGCTGGAGCATCAGGCCCATCATTCACGAACCTCACTGGTGCTTCGAGAAATGTTTTGAAGAAATTGAGCCAGATCTGTGGCATATGGAAAAATTTCAGGACCGTCAGCAGGGTTGAATGCGGGAGGGAAGGCCCAAACCATTTGAAGTCGGACCTTAATACTGTTATTTTCCCATATAGCGTAGTGGCTACCCGGGCCTCTGTAATTAGGAGATGAAGCAAGGAGTGCTTCCGGTCAATAGGTGAAGTAGAAAGATCCTCATCAACGTAGGAGTCATACGTAGGAGTCTGGCCTTGGGTATACGGGAGCTGGCTCATAAAGTAGGACGACTCGAACATGTCTCTCCTAATTTTATATAGATTCACTTGTGCATCGTTGTCGCCTTTAGGGTTTTCATCCAGAAAATATTGCCGCCTCTCCAGGTCGCGCTTCGGAATAGGCGGTGCGTTCCGCTTCCACGCATGCGAATTGAAAAACGTTCCAAATATGCCCTTGAACTTCACCCCCCATTGGACTCCTAGGTAGTGTAAAAAGAGTGCATCAAGAACGTCTTCGTCCATATACACCCGGTATTTTCCGTTCAGCTGTCGTCGCATCTCAAGCGGTATAACTTCGCTACCCCATTTCCAAGTATCAAGTTGAGCAAGACGCATGTTCAATACATCCGCAACCTCTTGAGCAACATCCTCATTCTCGAGAAACCCTTTGAGTATGACGACCTTATCGGGGGAGAAAATATCACTCGAAATGACCCCACTCGTGATCCATTTGAGGGAACTAGGTGTGAACGCTTTCTGATCCGCAAGCATCTCCTTTGAACAGGCCTTAACCGAACTCCGCAGGTCCTTGAGAGCCTGCTGGGATAGCCTGGTTTGAGCGAAAAGCTGCTCGAGGTACCGTTCAATAGCGACAGTGTCAGTTTGAGCTGGATCGAACACCAAGGACTCCCATTCCGCCCGCTGTTCATGCATCTCCTCCCTCCCCAACATGCTCGGACTGTCCTTCAGTTCCTTTCTCTGCAGCTGGGTCGTTAGGGTTTGTGAGCCATTCGGTAACCAGCTGACTAAAGAATAAAGCGTGCTCATGCTTTACGCTCCGGAGATCAAGGTCTCGCTTCAGCTCCTCTTCCCACGTCGACAGCGTCCCACTCGATATCGACGAGTCATATTTACTTTGGAATAAGAACCGTCTAATGTTCCGATACCGGCTCCTGGTCGACCCATCACACGAACTATCATGCCAATCACGTTCTGCATCATCTTTGTCGGATGTGTCCAAGCCATCACCGGGAAAACCCTGGATCTTTGTTACACCTTCAAGAAGGATCCTCACCCTTTCTCGAAGGTCCGTTTGACTATCAGCTTTCTTGAGGAGCGCTGATTTGCGAGACTCAAACAGGGCACGCTGTTTCTTGAGCTCGGTGATTTTCGTAGCAGTGATTGATTGTAAAGCTTGGGGAAGGGCAGCAGCAGTAGGCGGCATCCTGGATGGCATTTCCTGGGAAGCGTTTTGGTTTTTGATCAAGCAAGCGGGGCGCAGACAAGACGAAGAAAAATATAAGGACAAGAAGAAATAGTTGTTGCGAGTCCTCCAAACCTCTCGGATTTTTTTTTGAAAGTGTTCAGCACCAAGTACTGAGAATGGTTCTACAAACTTTGAAGAAAATTTCAAGGTGCTTGAACAGCTTTTATGTCGACGGCGTAAAAGACCGGCGAACGACTATCAGGGCTACAGAGCCAGAAAACGGGCGAGAAGAAGCTTCGCCAGTGCCAAACAGCAACCAAGCAAGAGTCAAAAAGCTAGTCTAAATATGGATGTTGGCTATCTAATAGGAGTTAGGTTTAGGTTTGGATCAGAGTTGGTTCCGGGGTTACGATTGAGTCATAAAAGTCTATCATGGGGGATTGTAGGAGGATTAACGTTGTTGTTCATTACTAAACCATCTACGCGAGAGCAACACAATATGTTGGGGGGCACGTGATAAGGTAGCCGTAGTATATTAGGCCACTAGGGCAAAGAGCTCAATCACCACCAGCGCCGTGGTGGTATAGAGGGTACGAATCACCCAATCCAATCCCCCCAACACCCCCCCTCGGACCCACTCTACCATCCGGCCAGCTGGGGGAACCTGGCTCTTCCTAAGTTCCACTACCCTACTGCCATTGGTCCTTGGTGGCCTGGGGTCTTCCTGGGTGCCTAACTGTGGGACGTCTAAGTGGTTGTATTAGCATGTCGGCAGCTGAGGCATATACAGTGCCTCGCAAGAAGTTTGAAACTATTGAGACTTCTAATCAATATCCACTAATTCAAAAGTAGTTTAACTCATAGTAGTTAGTAGTAGTTATAGTGTCACATGATATTTGAATGCATCCATTTACCTCTATTTTCATCTCTATACTGCTACGCATAGAATTCTTCTCTATTTTGTGTATGAAAGAGGAAAGAGAGAAGAAGAGAATGAGAATGCTCATTTTATGAATTTTACTAAAGCAGTCTATATGCATAAATAAATATTCAAAGTTAAAAAATATGTAATATAATTAATATACACAGATTATTTTCTTGCTCTTCTGAGAAAGATAAACAGTTTATTCAGATTTATTTTTAATTATACACACATCAATTCAATCTTTTCCACAATCTCTAGAACAGATCTTGATTTCATTGTATGATGATGATTGAATATCTCATCAATGATCATCTTTCATTGAAAAAAGAACATGCAATCATTATTCTTCTTTCTTCAACTAGACTCATATAATGATTTCAAATGCTGTATAGAAAACTGTTTATTCAATATCTGTTTTCATTTTTTTCAGAAATGATTAATTGATTAAATCATATGAAAGAGTTGATATATTCAAATATCATTCTTAGTTGATAAATGCTGTAGCAGAAGTGATGATAGCAGCAGCAATGATTGATAAAGAAGAAAATGAAAATATAAATGTAAAAATGAATAAAATCTTAACAATATTTTTCTATACACAGACAGAAACAGAGATAGACTGAAAGATTTAAAATTCAACTATTATTATATTAATTTTACACTGAATTTTATCAATCTTCTTCTTTATTCATACATCTCTGACTTTTATCTGATCCATTTATCACATTGATCTGTCTTTGTACAGTGCTCAAACTCTCAGAAATTTGTAATATTAAACGTTGAAACATCATTTTTTATGAAAAAATGAAAACTAACTTTGCAGTCTGTACAGCATCTACAAACTGCTCATACTTTACACATTGAAACACTGAGTCAGCTCACAGTTAATGAGTTGAAAATTCTCTCTGAAGAAAAGTAGAATTTTGTAATATCATCATATAAAGATAATTTAATAGCTGTAAAAATCTCTGAGCTGCAAGATCATCTGAATCAAATAAACTTTCATTATCAAGCTGTTTCAGATTCATATTAGAGATTTTAGAAAAAGTGATAGAGAAGAATTTGTTTTCAAAATGAAATTAAATAAATCATTCATTTATTTATGATCAGAGAAATTTCTTCAACAGCTTGGATGAAATGATTATAGTTTATGAAAAATAGTAATTATTTGACAAACTAGAATTGAACTTTATAATACCTCATATAAACTCTTTATTGATTTGACTGAGATAGCAGCTGATTAAAAAATCATTATTTTCATTATTCAATTTTATAAATGCTGCTCTCATTCATTTCATTAAACTCTGTTTTTTATGCATCTGTGCATCATTTGATATGAATTGTTCTTCATCATACTCAGTATATCTGTATATATAAAAATTTTGTACATATTCATACATGCTTTATAAATCTGTGAGCTTTTAATATATCATTCAAAATTTAATCAATTGAATAAGAATAAGAGTTCTTTTATCTGCTCTGCTATGTATGATATAAATCAATAAAAACTGTTCAATATTGTTTGATCAAATCTTTTTCTATTGTCTGCATAATCTTTTCTCTTTCAATATTTATACACTTTCTTTTGTGATGATTTTTTTTAAATGAATGATTGAAAATTTTCTTATTAAAAAATCAAATTGTCTTCTGCTCAGAAACAATCTGATCATCTGAAAACTTTTTTTCATCATATCATTTCTATTATATGAATAGTGGAGATTGAGCAGCAGTGAAAAGTTAGTCTATCAAATTCTATCTCTCTTTATACACAGAAATAAAGAAGAAATAAAAATAAAATAAATTTATATATTATCATTAATTCATTCTACTTTTTTATATATATTATCTGTGTATTTTTTGATCTGCTTTATCTGCTGATTCTCAGTGCATTCTTTTTTTATACTGTTATTTTTACAATAAGATCATGCTGTAACTGCTTCTGTGCAGCAGCAGTTTCAACAGCAGTATCAGCAGCAGAAATCATTATCAGTCTTTCTCATTCATATAAAAATGCAAGGATTTTAAAGTAAATGAGCAAGAACGACAACTTTATTAACAAAATTTAAAAAACATTTAAAACACGAATTTTAAAAGGAAAAAGGTCTTTACTTTTATATAAATACACTGAAAACGATAGCGAACGATAGCCCTGATCGCAGGGAATCTCACGACACCCAGCAATCCCCAGTTGAGGTGGTGCTGGTGCCATGGTTGTGATGGAGGAAATCGTGGGACGCGCTGACGGACGCCCGCGAGAAGAAAACTCTGACAAGAGGCAGCAGCCCACCACATGTGGAGCAATATTGACACAGTTGAGCAATGTTCTTTGCAATGGGAGCGAAGATCCTGCCATCAACGGCAAAGGGAAGGAGGTAGTGGAGGAGGCAGCCAGGTTGGTGAGGGAGTTGAAGGTCAAACTGGGGGAGGTGATGCTGGCCAAGGTGGAAGACGCGACCGTGGCGACACGTGTACAACGCCAACCCGAAGGAGTGAAAGAAGCCAAACTGTCATCATGGGCCAAGGTCGCAGGACAGGGAATTCCAGAAAAACCAGTGCCTAACCGAACCCTCCGCGAGATTACTGTCCTACGCCGGGACTGCGAAGCCCCCCCAGCTGAGGAGGCCACCCCCCCAGCGATTGTGGCAGCCGTCAACGCCAGAATTGTGGATGTGACAAAGGGAAAGGTGCTTGCAGCAAGATGTCTCCCCAGTGGAGACATCATCCTGACAACCGACGCGAGGGAGACCAGGGAGGCCTTGACTAAGAGCAGCACATGGCTGGAAGTCTTGGGACAAAAGGCGAAGGCAAAGCACACCCTGTACCCAGTCATGGTTAAGGGAGTCCCAATGGGCAACACCAACTGGAAGGAGGAACAGCAAGCCATCATGGCAATTTACGCACAGAATGAAGGACTCCGAAGAGGGGTACAAATTGAGAGACTGTCTCTACGACGGAATGCCAGCTTGCAGGCAAAGGTTGGGTCTCTTGTACTCAGCGTCACCTCGCCTCAGCAAGCCAACCTACTAGTAGACAATGGATTGATAATAGACAGCATATTTTGTGACGTTGAAATCTTCCACCGGGAAGCGCAGGTCACCCGGTGCTTTAACTGCCATGAGTATGGGCATACGGCCAGATTCTGCAGGCAGGCCAAAAGGTGCGGGTTCTGCGCGGCAAAAGAACATGACGACAAGGAATGCCCAGCACGAAAAGCTGGGGAACAACCGAGGTGCGCAAATTGTAGGGGAACACACCCAGCCTGGGTCTCTAAGTGCCCTGAGAGGGAGAGGGCATCAAGCAGGGCCCGTACAGCATACATGGAAAGACCCCGTAGGTTTATGGAGCCAAAAGCACAAAATGGGTGGCAGGTGGTGCAAACCAGAGGAAATAAAAGGTTACCCACTGGGGAACCAGAGGGCCAAAGAAGAGGACCAGGCCGACCCAAGGGGATTCTGCAAGCAGGCGAAGCCCAGAGAGGAGCTCTAAGTGCCTTTATAGCACCACAGAGCTCACAACCTGGGTCTCAGCTGCAGGAGGACCTAATGGACTACACGCAGACCCCAGCCCCCACGCAACAATGAGGGACACACTAAACCTCCTACAATATAACGTGCACAACTCTGCGAGAGTTATGGGTGCGTTATTGGCAGACCCTGCAACAGAAGACAAATACGACGTAATTGCAGTACAAGAGCCCAGCCGGAATCCCCACATGCTAGCAACACACTGCCCCAGAAGCTGCGGCTTCTGGCCAGCATATCACCCGGAAACACACCCAAGAGTATGCTTTCTGGTCAACAAAAGGCTCGTGGAACACACATGGGAGTGCCACTACCACTCAGAATACATTGCAGTGCTGACAATCACCACCGACCTGGGTAAGGTGCAAATAGTCAATGTGTATGCACCTCCTCCAGGGGGCTACAGCAGTGAACCGGAGGAATCCCCCATAGGCCAGCTGCAGGAGGTAGCCGGAATGGGCACAGATGCAGAGCTGGTCATATTAGGAGATCTTAATGTCCACCATGAGAGGTGGGGAGGGGTGAGAGTGGAGAGAAACTTCCGCATGGCATGGCAGCTAATAGCACAGGTGGATAGGCTGGGTCTCCAGCTTGCCACACCTGTAGGGGCTACCACATGGCAGGACAGAGGCAGCCCAGGGACGACTATAGACCTCACCTTTCTATCACCACTCCTGCACGACAAGCTCAGGAGGTGTGCAATAGCGGAGGAGGCATGCAAAGGATCTGACCATAAGCCCATGGAAACAACACTGGAACTCACACCCATCCCAAAGGAGGCTGAGAGACGAAACTGGAAGAATGCGGAGCCTGAGGAGGTAGCAAGGGACTGCCAAAAGCTATATGTGCCACAAAGCCTGGACTCCAGGCAAGCAGTCAAGGAGTATGCAGACTACCTGGTAGGATTTGTAGGGACATTAGCGGACAAACACGCCACCGTAAGTAAGGCTGGGTTAAAATCCAAGACATGGTGGTCACCGAGGGTGGCCAAGGCAGTGGAGGAGTACAAGCAGGCTAGGAGGTCCCAGCTCCCAGAAATGGAGCGGCTCAGGGCACGCTGCAAGCGCAACAGAGAAATCCACTTGGCTAAGACAGCAAACTTCAGAGATCTGGTTGACAGGACCCGTGATGACCCCAGATTGATGTGGGGACTAGCAAAATGGGGCAAGGAAAGAAGCCATCTGCCCCCACAGGCACCTACTGTCCCCCCCTGAGAACAGGGGAAGGGGCTGACGCGACGGTAGAAACCTCTTTTGAGGGGAAGGCTGAGGCATTACGACAACGGTTCTTCCCACAGCCAGAGCCCGCCGACTTAAGTGACACCAATATGGAGCTGCTGCAAGCTGAAAGGGAAGCGTCAAATGACACCATCAGTGTGGAGGACATGGAAAGCCTGATCCAGAGACTGCCAAACAGGAAGGCACCAGGGAGGAGTGGGATCACCAACGAGTTCCTTAAGATGCTGGGCAGAACATTTGTGGAGCCATAACAGCTCTCACCAATGCATGCTGGCATTGGGAGACTTACCCAGACACGTTTAAGGAAGCCAAGACAGTGGCCTTGCGCAAGCCAGGGAAGGCTGACTACCAGACTGCAGGAGCGTGGAGACCCATTGCCTTGCTGGACACAATAGGGAAGATTGTGGAGGCAGCAACTGCAAAACGCCTGCGGAAGATCGCGGAGGACCACAACCTGCTACCCTCACAGCAAAGGGGGCAAGAAGGGGCAGGTCCACTGAAACAGCCATAGCACAACTTCTAGCCCAGATAAGGACAGTGTGGCAGCACCCAGGACAGGTGGCGTCGGTACTCTCCCTAGACATGACAGGGGCCTATGACAAGGTGCTGCGGGAGCGAATGGTTCACATCCTCCGGCGACTGGGCATCCCCAGGGACCTGGTGGGATGGGTTGCGTCCTTCATGACCAACAGGAAATCCACAATTGCCTTTGAGGGCCAGGAATCAGACACTTTTGACATCCCAGCAGGCATCCCGCAGGGGTCACCCCTATCACCTATACTATTCCTATTCTACAATGAGGAACTGGTGCGCATCTGCTCAAGACCGGGGCGCCCGGTGGTGTGCATAGCCTTTGTAGACGATGTCAACGTGATGGCCTATGGCCAGTCCACTGAGGACAACTGCAGGGAGCTCCTGCGCATGCATCGGGCATGCGAGGAGTGGGCAGCACGGCACGGGGCGGTCTTTGCCCCCCAGAAGTATGAGCTAATGCACTTCACACGGGCGCGCAACCAATTCAACCTACAGGCTGAGCTGAGACTGCCAGGACAAACTATACAACCGAAACAGGTGATGAGGGTATTGGGAGTATGGTTAGACTCTAGGCTGAGATGGAAGGGCCACCTGGACGCGGTGGCAGGCAAGATGAAGACTCAAGTCAGAGCACTGTCCCAAACCACCCAATCCACATGGGGGCTCCCACTACGACAAGCGAGAATGGTGTATAACATGGTCATCAGGCCGGCCCTGACCTTTGGAGCAATAGCATGGCACCAGCCACAGGGGCAGGGGGGCACGGGTCCAGCTAAGTCAGGACTGGCCCTCAAGCTGACCACAGTGCAGAACTCCTGCCTCAGAATAGTGGCAGGGGCATACAAAAGAACCCCAACAAGCACACTGGAAGCGGAAACCCACACAGTACCCTTAGACATCCACCTGGATGGGCTAGTGGCAAAGGCGGTCAACAGGATGAAGGCCTCAGGAATGGCGCAACAAATTGAGAATGCGTGTGCGGCCATAAGGACCAGGCTTCGGCACCGGGGGGTGACAAGGGGGGCACAGAGACACATGGGAGCTGTGGTTCACCCGGCAGCCCTGCCAGTGGACTGGGAACAGCAATGGATTCAGGGTGCTAAGGAGAGAGTCACAGCAGAGATGACACCGGAACAACGAGCCAACCTGGACCAAGCCTCATATAATCACTGGCTGAAGCGCGAGCAGCTCTGGAGGTGGGTGCAGAGGTGGAAAAGACGTGAGCCCCCCTGGGGGGAGCGGCATGGCCGGCCCCCAGACAAGAAAATTCTGAAGTGGCACACCGGCCTGCGCAAGGCTCGCAGCACTATCATCATCCAATTGAGGTCAGGGAAAACCGGACTGGCAGCTTTCCTAAACCGGTGTAAGGTACCTGAATTCCCCACCCCACGGTGCCCCTGTGGGTATGAATGGGAAACAGTCGAACATGTTCTGATACACTGCGAACGCTGGGAGCAGCAGCGTCAGGGC